CTTCGAGATCTCTAATGGGGAAAAGCGGGAATTTGAACGGGTAAACAAGTTAGGAAAAAAGGGAGAAAGATGACCAAAGCTTTTTGTCTTGGAATTGCTTTTGATAGCATTTAAAAGCGACAACTCAAGAAGCATTGCTGAAAAAAATTGGAAATTTTTGTTTTTAATACACGGAAAATAACGCATCTTCTTGCAGATGAAACATGACCAATGTAAACCAGCTGAAAGCCATTCCACCTTAGTCCTTACCCCCCTTGTGAGGTGTGCCAGACGTCGCTTTTTCTTAAAAATGACATGGAAAGTACTTTTTGAGTCCAAGCCTAATCTTTCAAAGCTTTCAAAGAAGCCTGCAAAGCTTGCAAATCTCCCAGTACACACCAGAAATGGGGTGTTTACACAAAATTTTGAGCTCTGAGTACACTCAAAAGGTAGATGATAGATTTGACAAGTTAAATGATGACAAGGGAAGTCATAAGAAAAAACAAGATAAAAATCCTGCATGTCCTGTAGATGAAACTTGGGTAATTAAACCAGCTAGGCGCCATACCGGCCGTCCTTACCCTTGGTCAGTTGGCCCAGGCGGGGTGTTTACACAAATTTTAAGCACAAAGTACACACTCAAAAGATAGATGATAGATTTGACAAGTTAAGTGGCAGGACAAGAAAGACAGAAAGACAAGAAAGGCGAGAAAAGAATGAAACAAAAACTTCAGAGGAGTGCAAATGCTAAGCACCATTTGAAAAGAAGAAAAGAAAAGCTTTGTCTTTTTCTTCCAAAAGCATGTCTTTTTCTTCAAAATCTCTGCCTTTGACAGATTGGAAGCAAAGGGAAAAGCCGTGTTTTTGAATTGAAAGTAAAGAAAAGAAAAGAAAAGAGAATGCGGAGTTGAGAAAAATGGAAAGGAAATCCCGGGAAGTATCTTCTTTTGCCTAAACCAAAAAACTGAATTTTTCGTCTTTTCTGAAAAGAGTTTACCAGGCAATTTCTTTTTCGTTTGGCTAAAAGGGCTTATTGGTCAACAAAGGAAATGAGTTTTGGGGAACTTTTGTCTGTTTACGTTTGAAGTGATCGCATTTTGATGTCATCATATAAACAACAGGTCATCAAGCGAATTCTAGCGTCAAGGACGCTTTAGGATTGACCAGGATTGTTAGGATTGCCCAGGATTGGCCAGGATTGGCCAGGATTGTAATGGGATTAATGGCCAGGATTGCCCAGGTTTGACTACTGGGTTACCCAGGGTTGCTTAGGATTTCCCAGGATTGCCCAGGTTTATCCAGGCCCGTGCGCAGGGGGATTGCCCAGGATTGCCCAGGGCCTGTCCAGGATTGTTGCCGGACTACCCAGGATTGTACCAGGGATTGACCAGGATTACTTAGGATTGGTTAGGCTTGCCCAGGTTTGACTAGGTTTGCCCAGGATTGCCCAGGATTACCCCAGGATTGCCCAGGTTTGTCCAGGCTTGGCCAGGATTGGTCAGGTTTGGGCCAGGATTGGCCAGGATACAGGAGTTACCCAGGATTGACCAGGATTGACCAGGATTGTTCAAGTTGCCCAGGATTACCAAGGATTGGGGGGGATTGCCCAGGATTGTGCAGGTTTGACTAGGTTGCCCAGGATTGCCCAGGATTACCCCTGTTGCCCAGGTTTATCCAGGCTCGCCGAGGTTTACCCAGAATTGTCAAGCATTGGCTTACGGCTCCTAGGAGCCGATTGGAATATCCAGGAGTAGTATCAGCAGTTGACAGTTGGGAATGCAAAAAGAGTATTCTAGCAGTTGGGAATGGAAGAAAAAATTCGGCTCGAAAAAGGTCAGTACCGGGGTTCGAACCCCCGACCTGTCTCACACCGGTCCCCCACCAGCCGAACGTTCTACCAATGAGCTACAATGAAGTGTTTCCCTGCCGCCAGGGCAGACTCTTATCCCTTACTTCAGGCTTCTATCAGCGACCTGTTGTGGTCAAATTCTGTAATAAAGACAGTTCTAGGCTAGACGTGAAGCTAGATCCAGCCTTATCAATCCAATAATCCATGAACATCTCTTGCTATGAATACCGTAATCCAGAAACATCTCTGGCTATCGATACCGTAATCCAGTTTACCTAGTTAAGCTGGAAATTTCGAAACCTTACCTCAACTAACAAGCTCCTTTTCCGAGGCACATTCTGCATACGAATCTGATAGTCGGACTTGGAGTTTTTCCCGGATTTTGAGCGATACAAATGATAGCCTGAAATGAATATTTGATAACAATATTAGATATCAATAAGATATCAATATAGATATCAATATAGATATCAATATAGATATCAATATAGATATCAATATAGATATCAATAAGATATCAATATAGATATCAATATAGATATCAATATAGATATCAATAAGATATCAATATAGATATCAATATAGATATCAATATAGATATCAATATAGATATCAATAAGATATCAATATAGATATCAATATAGATATCAATATAGATATCAATATAGATATCAATATAGATATCAATATAGATATCAATAAGATATCAATATAGATATCAATATAGATATCAATATAGATATCAATATAGATATCAATATAGATATCAATATAGATATCAATATAGATATCAATAAGATATCAATATAGATATCAATATAGATATCAATATAGATATCAATATAGATATCAATATAAATAGCAATATCAATATTCTTAGAATCTATTCAAATGAACTCTTTTTAGACTCTCATTTTAATGATTTCTCCAAAATGCAAACCCGTATTTCTCTTGAGATCGGTGGCATTGCCGAAAGTGGCCGATTTCTTCGGGCAAATCATCGTTTCTGTGTTCTGCTGAAACTTTATTGACTTTAAATACTTCTAGTTTTATTGTTCAATTTGTGTTTTAAAAATTTATATTCAATCTTTAGGCTTTTGTTAAGGCAATTGTTGAAGTTAGAAAGAGATTTTTCGTTTCGAAAAGTAAAAATACTTTGTTTCTAAAAGCTTTAAGCGACCTTTTCCTGTCGAACGAAATCCCTAGCCGACTCGAGGCTTTCTTCAGCAATTGTGCACAGCTTTTCTCCCTAAAAATTTCAATTCTAAATAGTTTTAATAAAAAAAAATATTAAAAGTTTAAATAAAATGAAGAATTAAAATACTTTTATTTGAGTTTTTAATTTTTTTTTTTTAAATTTTGCTTTGTATTATTTAAATCCGATTTTTCCTCTTTATTCTGAACAATTTCTATTGAAAAAAGTGCATACTTGAGTACATTTCAGTGCACTAGATTGAGTGCGTTTACTTGAGCACAAAGTACAGGACCAAGTACAGTACCAAGCAGTACCAAATACAGTACCAAGTACAGTACCAAGTACAGTACCAAGTACAGTACCAAGTACAGTACCAAGTACAGTACAAAGTGCAGTACCAAGCAGTACAAAGTGCAGTACCAAATACAGTACCAAGTACAGTACCAAGCAGTACAAAGTGCAGTACTAAATACAGTACCAAGTACAGTACCAAGTACAGTACCAAATACAGTACCAAGTACAGTACAAAGTGCAGTACCAAATACAGTACCAAGTACAGTACCAAGTACAGTACAAAGTGCAGTACCAAATACAGTACCAAGTACAGTACCAAGTACAGTACCAAGCATAAAGTACAGTACAGTGAAAATCAAGTACCACAGTTTGTCTATGGGTCTCTAACGGAACAAGCGTCTCCGGGTGATTCTCCGCCAATGCAGGAGTCGTTTTCGAACGGAAACTCGGCTTTCGAAAGGGAATCATTTCAGATTTAATTCAAGATTTGAAGAATATTTAGTCAAGAATGCAATTCTGAAGCAATTCTGAAGCAATTCCGAATCTTTTCTAGATAATAATTCGAGTTTTCAGCGCCGAACACCAGAACTGAGTGTTCTCCTTACTTTAACCCCAATGAACCCACAAAATCCGCAAAAAAACCACAAAAAAATCGCACCTCTGGGACCTATTGACAATCATTTTTCACCAAAAATCTTCAAAATTCACCAAAATCTTCAAAAGTTTCCAATTTTTCTCTTTTAAACTTCAAGAATTTCTCTTTTCTTTTTGCATTCGATCAATTTTTTCATTTTTTTTTTTTAATCCTACCGCTTTCTCTTTATAAAACTTCTAAAATTGACAAAAATTTAATTTATTTAATCATTTTGTTCTTTATTTTAATGGTGATTTAAAATTGAGAGATTCAATGGAAATTAAGCTTTCTTGAGTAAGCTTAAAATATCTCTAAATGATCAATAAAAAGGGTGTCCGAAAAAAAAGTAGTCATCAGTTTGGGAGAAATTTTCTCGTTGGTTTTTCTAGCCTTATCTGAGCTGGGCCAGAAAGCTGGCAAGACCATCAAGACCGCAAAAAAGCCGTTTAAGTCCGAAATAACCAAAGAAAGCAAAGAAAAATCAAAAGACCGAATCGAACTTGCGAGGTCTGGTCTAGAAATGAGCGATGTACCACTCGGCTAAGCCTGCACCGAAACGGGCTGTGAGGAAGCCGTTAAGACCATCGGGTCCACAAGAATTTACAGGCCGGCTAGGAGCGTTGTCCCTTAAGCGGATGGTCGAGGGTTCAATCACGCTGACAAGATTAAAATCTTTCTTTTTTCCCCACCAAGTCGATTTTTTCTTTGATAACATTTGGGTAATTTTAACTATTTTAAATCCTCAATATATAAGCTCGATCTTGTAGCTCTGTCAATTTTAAATTAGTTTTTAATGTCATATATACACGTGTCTAATTGTAGTTGTGTTTGTATATCAATTATCTTTCTTCGTCTACGCTGTTCAATCTGTTTGCATTGTCACTTTTCCTTGTCGGATAAAGTATATATATGTAATAAGGGTAATAGGAGACATAAAGCTCTCAATAAAGACATAAAGCTCTAAATAAAGACATAAAGCTCTCAATAAAGACATAAAGCTCTAAATATAGACATAAAGCTCTAAATATAGACATAAAGCTCTAAACAAACATAAAATTGTTTGTTTAGAGCTTTATATTGTATTATGTATCTTTTGTTTGGATCACATTATTTCTTTTCAATAAATGATGACTTAAAATTGAGAAATTCAATGGAAATTCGGCTTTGACACAAAGCTTAATTTCCATTGAACGTCAGCGATGTTCTTAATCTTTACTTTGAAATGGAAAAATCTCCTTTCTAGTGTACTCAATGATTTCTCCACGTTTTGCCTTTATTTGAGTAATTAAACCGATTGAGGATGCAGATTTCTACGCTAGAAAAGATGCGTTTACACTTTTCAGCACAAAGTATATAGAAAAGGTTTTGTTTATGTAGAAAAAGTTGATTTTGAATTTCATCCTCTTCGTTTTTTGTGCAACTTTTCAAACACTCAGAAGCCTCTAGAGCTTCTAGACTCAGCTTCTAAAGTCTGTGAGTCAAAGAAAGTCAAAGAGCTCAAAAAAGTCTGTGATTCTCGAAGCGGAAAATGAGTTTCTTTTTCATTTTTTCCGAAAAAGTTCACGAAACTCGATTCCCTCTTTTCATCGTTCCTTTTACGTGAAAATGAAAATGAAAAGCTTTAATGATCAATCTAAAAAGCTTTAATGATCAATATCTTAAACTTTAAACTCTATGCTTAGTCCCACGTTTAGCCTCCATAATAAAAATCAACAAGCTTTTAGAGAACTAATAAAAACTGTTTGAAAACCGAGCCAACACTCATTTGAAGCGCGCCTTCTGGGAAACTTGGGTAATTAAACCGAAAGGAGGGTGTTTCCAGCGGATTCTATCCGGGCAGTGGGTCAGACACCGCTTTTTCCTACGAGCGACAGGGAAAGAACGCACAGTGGCCATTGCTGACTATGAGGTTTGTTAATCGGCGCCTCAAACTTGGGTAATTAAACTGTCTGGGGTGGTTTTCCCCCCGTCTTACCCAAGGGTAGTGTGCCAGACACCGCTTTTTCTTACGAGCGACGGGGAAAGAACGCACCAAAAAAGGATTGTTTGAATATCTTCTGCAAAGTTATATATCTTAAAACTTTGAAATCTTTAAAGCTTTTCCTTTCTTTCTTTTCTTTTCTTTCTTTTCTTTCTTTTCTTTCTTTTCTTTCTTTTATTTTGATATTTTTTCTTTTATTTATGCATTTTTGTGTATGGCGACCGTTGCGTTGCCATCAGAATTGCGAAAGAGAGGAAAAAATCTTTTAGCGATTCACTGAAAAGCTCAGAAATCCGGCTGAATTCTTAGAAATTCCGGGAATTTCGATGAAAAAGAAATTGAATAGTTGAAAGGATTTTTAAGAGGAAATCGCTTAATAAATGGAGATTTTTAAGGGAAATTGATGTTAATTTAGTTTCATTTAGTTTAATTTAGTTTAATTTAGTTTCATTTATGTTAATTTAGTTTCAATTAGGTTTAATATATGTTAATTTATGTTAATTTACGTTAATTTACGTTAATTTAGTTTAATTTAGTTTAATATATGTTAATTTATGTTAATTTAGTTTCATTTAGTTTCATTTAGTTTAATTCAGTTTCATTTAGTTTCATTTATGTTAATTTAGTTTCATTTAGTTTAATATATGTTAATTTATGTTAATTTACGTTAATTTACGTTAATTTACGTTAATTTACGTTAATTTATGTTAATTCCCATGAAAATCTCGTTGTTAAGCGGGAATTTGATGGAAAATTTGGGAATTTAGCCTGAAGAATTGATCGTACGGTCAATTCATGTTAAAGAATGTAAAGAAAAGCATGTGAAAGAGAGCTAAGCTCATCGTTTTTTTTTCGGTTTCAGAGCGTTTTCTTTTGTTTAAATCGAAAATTTTATGAAATTCTTATTAGCTTTTATTGTTTTTGATGGTAATTTTAACTAAAGATTTCATTTTTTTAACAGAAAAACACTCACGATATGTCCATGACTGCTCTCGGAGCTTGAGTCCATAAATTTCTCTCTAAATTTATACGTAAATGAATGAAAAGCGTTGAAAAAGGAAAGAAATTGGAAAAATAAGAAAGAAAAGAGAAAAAAGAGAAAAAAGAGAAAGAAATATCGATCGATTTTGTTCAAAAATGAAAATACAATCTTTTTAGTGCGCTTAAAACTGAATTCTCTCAAAAAAATGCAGAGTTTTATGTTCTAGAAAGGGTTTGTTTGCTGCTTGATGCTTTGGGTGATGATGTGGCACAAAGTACACTTGGAAGAAGAAGATTGGCTCGGCTACAAGTTATTGGCTCATTGGCTACTAGTTATTCCAAGAGTTTTGTAGGAAATAGTTTCTCGATTTTGGATTAAGGTATGATGAGCTGCTGAATAGGAAAATCGAGTTGCTGAACAGGAAAATAGATGAGTTGCTGAACAGGAACACGAGTTGCTGAACAGGAACACGAGTTGCTGGACAGGAACACGAGTTGCTGGACAGGAACACGAGTTGCTGGACAGGAACACGAGTTGCTGGACAGGAACACGAGTTGCTGGACAGGAACACGAGTTGCTGGACAGGAACACGAGTTGCTGAACAGGAACACGAGTTGCTGGACAGGAAAGTATTATGAGCTGCTGAATAGGAAAATCGAATTGCTGAACAGAAAAATCGTGTTCCTTGAACAGGAAAACTTTCGCATAATTAACATGTCTTCTATCACACTTATCCAACTCCAACTGAAATTTCTCTGGAAATCGAGTTCCTTGAACACTTGGGAAATGACGTGGGACTTGGGAAATTCAGGATTTCAGGATTTCAGGAAAACTTTCAAATAGTTAACATGTTAATCAATTCGTTTTAAAATTCTAAAGCCTTTTAGGCAAAAGGCTGTTAAAGGCTTAGGATTCGTTAAAGAATTCAACAAAAGAAATGAAATTCAATAGTAAATAACAACCCAGAATCATCTAGAATCCAAATCAAAACTCAAAAAACATTCTAAAAGTCGAAAATTTCCGAAACAAGTGAGAAAGATTAACAAAAATTGTTGCCAACCTCACCCTGGAAGAAGCTCTGGTTCAAGAAAGCCGGAAGTGTTTCAAAATCTGTTTCAATCTTGCAAGTTTGCCATTTTGCAAGATTACAAGTTTTCTAAAGAGTTAAAGATCGATAGAAGATCGATGAGAGATCGATCGGAGATTTTCCTAACTCTTATTCATGAGAAGAGGAAGGGACCAAGGGAAAGAGAGGCAAGGAAAGGTTCACTGGGGTGTGACTTCGACTTGTGTGAAGGGGCCGCCGGGGTGGGGCCCTCTATGTGTCTGGGGGGCCTCAGCTCAGCCCACCGCCCATTCATTGACGGACTATTGAATTCTCTAACTTCTCCCCCTAATTCCCTTTCTCTGCCTTCCCTCTCTCTCTTCAGCTTCAGCTTCAAGGGATCAACTGCAAGACTCTGGCCCTGTTCCTTAGATCTCTTACTTACTTACTTAGTTACTTGCTTACTTCCTTAGTTACTTACTTACTTACTACCTTACTTACTTACTTACTTAGTTACTTACTTACTTCCTTATTTACTTACTTATTTACTTACTTACCTACTTACTTACTTCCTTATTTACTTACTAACCTACTTACTTACTTAGTTAATTCCTTATTTACTTCCTTATTTACTTACTTACTTCCTTCCTTCCTTATCCTTAAGAGGCTTAAAAACTAGCTTTAATTTAAAGCTAAAGCTTTGCCTCATGGTACAAAGGACAGAGCTGTTTGGCTAACAAATAACAGAGTAACAAGTTTGTAAGTTCATCTAGGCAATTGATTAATAAAAGAAGTAGCTGAAGAGTTGAGCTAAAGCTCTGATCTTGAGCTGAGCTAAAGCTCTGACCTGAGCCAGTTCAGCCAAAAAATTCAATAACATTCTTTTCTTTTCTGAGAATCTTTGCATTTCTTGGTCTGGGGGGCGATGTTATTAGTAATAAGGTGAAGTGGAGAGGGTGAAATCTGTTGAAGGACAACATTCTCAGAAAAATATGCATGAGAAGAGAAATGGAGAGAGGTTAGAGAAAGAAAAAAGAGGGGAATAGAGCCCCTGGGGGCCTTGGAGAAGACCAATCAATAAGGGGAAAACGGGGGAAATCAAGAGAATCAAAAAGACGAATGAAGGCGGAAATCGAATAGGAAGTGAAGAGGGGAATGAAGGGAAGAAAGGGGAAGAAGGGGGAGAAAGGGGAAAGAAAGGGGAAGTGCTGGAGTGTGACTCTTGATCTCTTTCCTTTTTCTATCACACTTATCCAACTGAAATTTCTCTTGAAATCAAGTTCCATGAACACTTGGGAAATGAGTGATTCAGAATTTCTGGAAAGCTTTAAAGAAGCTTGAATAGATGTTGAATAGATGTTGAATAGATGTTGAATAGAGCTTGAATAGAGCTTGAACAGATCTTGAACAGATCTTGGATAGATCTTGAACAGATCTTGGATAGATCTTGAACAGATCTTGAACAGATCTTGAATAGATCTTGAACAGAGCTTGAATAGATGTTGAACAGAGCTTGAATAGATGTTGAACAGAGCTTGAACAGATCTTGAACAGAGCTTGAATAGATCTTTAACAGAGCTTGAACAGATCTTGAATAGTTCTTGAACAGTTCTTGAACAGATCTTGATCTTGAATAGCTCTTGAATCAAAAACTAAATCTGTTTCTATTCCTTGTAAACCAAGCTAAACAAAGCCAAAGTTATCTGTTGTTAAAATCATTTTTTTTTTATCATTTTTTCGTATTCAATCTGATAACTTGACTGTTAAACAAATGCAAAATTTGATTTTGTAAACAAATAGTTCTTGAACAGATCTTGATCTTGAATAGCTCTCTGTTCGTTTAAACAAAGCTCAAAAATTTTGTGTGCATGTTTTTTTCCCAAAAGAATCTTCTTTCTCTTCAAAAGAATCAAAAAATCTTCTTTCACTATCATTTTTCATCAAAAATTTCGTTTTCGGTTGGGAAATTCGTTTTTGGTTCACTCAGAAAAGAAGAAAATTACAAATTTGAATGATTAATTGAGAAAACAGAGAAAAAGAAAGAAAGAAAGAGGAAGAAAGAGAAAGAGAAAAAGAAAGAAAGAGAAAGAGAAAGAGAAAGAAAGAAAAAGAAAGAGATCTCTTCAAAATTTCGTCAATAATTGGATGAAAAATTTTCTCTAATTTCAAGAATTATTCCGGGATGAAATAGGGAAAAAGATGAAGAAAATGATGAAAAAAATGATGGAGTAATTTTCATAGAAACCATTTTAGAAACAGAAAAAGATCGAGTAATATTTAGAAATAGAAACCATTTAGTTTTATCATTTCGTTTAGTAGATGAGGTGAATGAAAGATTCGAATGAAAATAAGCGTTAAAATTTGAGTTGAAACTCTTGAATTTCTATTGGGTTGGTGAATTGAAAACTTCGGTGAAATGAAAATTGGGTTAGTGAATTGAAAACTTGAAAACCTTGTCATAAGGGACAGTTTGAGCACTTTCTTCAAAAGAAACCCATTTTGGTGTCAATGTAAAAAGTTGTAGAGAATCAAAAATCAAGCTTATATCCAAATTTCCAAAAGATACACTTAGTGGTTTCGCTTAAAATTTGTGTGTTCTCTGTGTTCTTTGTGCGGCGGCGTAATCGCTCGTCGTTTGGCGCAGGGCTTTTCCATAACTCCCTTCCTCTCCCTTTCCTAAACTAATATGGCCGGCTCAAATTGGACATTGACTTCTCCTCAAATCAAGGCTAATCTAATGTATTGGATCGGTGAATTGAAAACTGCCATCGATTGTCATATGTGACAGTTTGAGCACTTTTGTACTAAAAGAAACCCATTTTCGTGTCAATGGGAAAGCTGTAGAGAATCAAAATGAAGCTTATATCCAAATTTTCAGAACGATTCAAAACTGGTTTTCAAGAAATACCAAATTTACGAAACTTTCACAAAACTTGCATTTTAAGCGAAACTACTAAGTGTATCTTTTTGGAAATTTGGCTATAAGCCTAATTTTTGATTCTCTACAACTTTTCTATTGACACCAAAATGGGTTTCTTTTGAAGAAAGTGCTCAAACTGAGACATTGGGACATCTCCAGTCTTCAGTCCTCCATTTTTGAGTCTCACACTTGTCTCACACCAAACCTGTCTCATCAAAATCCTACTGCGAAAGAGGAATCCGAAATTGCCTTTAAAATGGGCAGAAGTCGTCAATAATAATGGCAATTATTTGGAATGAATTCATGTTGAAGAAATTTTAGTTCAAAGTTCGGCAGTTTTCAATTCACCAACCCAATAGTTTATAATTCGCTTTAATATTTATCCTATTTAGGCAATCATCGTGAAAAGTGTGCCACATAAGGGTGGCTATCAATGGAAATTCAGATCTCTTCAAAATTTCGTCAATAATTAAATGGAAAATTTTCTCTAATTTCAAGAATTATTCCGGGATGAAATAGGGAAAAGATGAAGAAAAAGATCGAGTAATATTTAGAAATAGAAACCATTTAGTTTTTACCATTTCGTTTTGTAGATGAGGTGAATGAAAGATTCGAATGAAAATAAGCGTTAAAATTTGAGTTGAAACTCTGAATTTCTACAATTTATGCCTTTCACTCTTTCTACTCTTCCAAAGTCTGAAAATCATTGAAATTTGAGTCATTTACTCATAAAACACTCAAAAACTCATCCAAAAAACGAAAGCTTTTTGTTTAAAAGCTTTGGATTTCATTCTGAATTCCTGAATTTCAAAAGAAAACTTTGGAAATACGAATTGGATTCAGAAATGGATGCAGAAATGGATTTAGAAATGGATTTCGTTGAAAGATATGTGACTTTATCTGGAAGTATTGGATCAGCTTTTCTTTCAGATCAATTTTCAGATCAATTTCAGATCTTTCAGATCAATTTTCAGATCAATTTCAACGTTGAATCCCTCAGCTAGCTTTGACTTAGCACCATGAAGAATTCGTGAAAAAATCTAGCTAAATTTAAGGCAAAAA